TAATTCAGGGGAAGGATGATGTTCATAGTAACACCTTCATGCCAGGCTTCTCTGCGTATGTCCAGTATGTCCAGTCTGGGTGGTGGGGTCTCATCCAGCTCAGACTCTTGTCTTCTGCAGTTTCACTGGAGATTGGCAAGTGCTGTTTGCAAAAGATCCATTCCTTCAGACACGGAAGAGGGGATTTCTGTGCCAGGTCCTCCCATATCCATACCCACCTCTTTCTCTGTCTTGCTCTATCATTCTTCGGAAGTTCATTGTTTGTCTTGGTGCAATGTCCCTGTCTGGTAAATTGGGATACTAGAAGGTTTTAAGATGCTTTTAGAAACCTGGAAATGACATTGTCTGGTCTGGATTTTGTAAAGAAATCTTTCTGTTTGTTCTGCTGTAGCTTGGCTTGAGTTAAGGGAGATTTCATAGTAACTGTCTGGCCTTAAGGACACACCTCTGCGTGTGGTGATCCCGAACATAGGCTGCAGTCTTGTAGGGTCTCCCACCCTGTTTTTCCCTAGGGTATGCAATGGAGAAGGCTAAGGACTTCTGCTGCATATGCCGTTTCAGAGTGGGTATTGCAGGTGTCGCCATGGAAGAAGTGGTCTAGTAGGGACCCTCTCATCTAGTAGGGAGCTGTGAGAAAGGCAATGAACTTACTAGTAATTGTAACATTATGATAGTTACGCATTTATCAGAGATCTGGCAAATATCGCAGGTGGCATAAAACATAAATTAGATTTGCTAATACCAGGGCAGACTGTCAGGAACTTCCGAAGGATTTAGCCAAGCCAGATGAGTGGGCAGCCTGATGACAAGTAAAATGTGCCATCAATAAAACCAGAAGACTTACACCGAAGGCAACAACTGGAGCTACTCGGTTCACTTGACTGTGAACTATATACAGCGGCTCAGGAAAGGGATCAGATATCTGATTCCTGTTACTACGTACCAGAAATCCAGAAAGCAAACAAGTGAGTTTAACAAATGTCAAAACCAGTCCAGGAAATGCTTGTTCAGTTGCTGCAAAACTAACCAGGGGTGGTCTTTACATTATCGAGCTTCAAATATATTAATAAATACATTACCGGGCTTCAAATTCTGGAAATTAATGAAATCAGGCTGCCTCCGTGTGACTTGCAAATAATACAAGTGCAGCTGCTGTGCTGAGGCTGTGACCAGCAAGGTCACATCGGCAAAGACTCTGCAGGGCAAGGTAAATTCCTGGTGGTTGTAGAAGGCAGGAGAGAAGGGGTGATTCAGCCCAACTGTGTCTCATAGTGAAGCAATGAGTCCCCCAGAAACCTGCTCTCCCTTCCTCCCGTGAACCACCAAACTTCCTTCCCCCCCTGCTCTCCAAGGTTTTATCATGTGGTTTTCAGCCACATGAAGATTTTGGATGTGTCTCGCAGTGCTGAGAAAAAAAAAAAAAAAGAAGTGTCTGTGGCTAAAAAGGATAGTCAGATATTTGTAACAGCAAATATTAAGAACTAAGCCTCCTAAAGCCTGCAAAGGAATAAATGCTTCATGGTTTTACATTTCAACTAAGTTTAAGGG